ATTAGTGAGTAGTAAATGAGCAGTGAGTGAATTAGTGAGTAGTAAATGAGGCAGTGTGTGAATGTGTCAGTGAGCAGTGAGTGAATTAGTGAGTAGTAAATGAGCAGTGAGTGAATTAGTGAGTAGTGAATGAGGCAGTGTGTGAATGTATCAGTGAGCAGTGAGTGAATTAGTGAGTAGTAAATGATGCAGTGTGTTAATGTGTCAGTGAGCAGTGAGTGAATTAGTGAGTAGTAAATGAGCAGTGAGTGAATTAGTGAGTAGTAAATGAGGCAGTGAGTGAATGTGTCAGTGAGCTGTGAGTGAATTAGTGAGTAGTGAATGATGCAGTGTGTGAATGTTTCGGTGAGGGAGGGAGGGAGGAAGTGAGAATTTAGTGAATGAGTCAGTGAGCAGTGATTGTGTGAATGAGTCAGTGATGCAGTGAGTAATTGGTTGGTTGTGTGAAAAAATTCATGAATGCGTCTGAGCTGTGTGTAAATGAAAGTGTTGGTCGGTTGGTTGGTGAATGAGCAATGAGTAAATCAATTTGAGAAGGAATGACTGAGGTGCTCAGTGAGCAAATGAATAAATGTTAGCTGGAGAAAGAGTGTATTTATAATAACAGTCTTCATTCCAAAAGTGTGTGAGTGTATAAGGGTAGCTATTTTACTGCCTGAAACAAACGTTTTGAAATGAAGTTTTCTGATACACACGCAAGACTATTCTTTACAAGGATTTCATGAACGCATGCAATGTAAAGATTTATACTATCCGGGTGAAAAAAAAAACGTCAGGTGTACTGATTTTAGTTAATCATTGTAAAATCGGTGATTCCTGTGCAAGTAATCCTGTGATATTTGCTTTTAATGCTTACAATGCATGTTAATGCACATCCTATAACCCCATCATCTATCATACTTCCTCTGCTGCACATGTAAATATTACTCATATAAGAAATACATGTACATGTATGGTGTAAACCATTTATAAGTTTCACTACTAGAAATGTTCGTGATTTTATGGCTTTCATGAAGACAAAATTTCGCAAATCTCACTGACATACTTTTTGTCATAGGACCCTGGTAAAATTTTTACTACTAAAACATTTTGCGATTTTCATCAGACTCTAATAACTCACAGAAATTTGCAGTTTTATTGCCCTATAAATTATTCGTTCATATGATGTCATTGCTACTCATGATTCTGAGTTGTATTGCACTTCATCCTGTTTCAGAAATATGATTTACAGGCAAAACGGTTCTGTGAGCATGTCGTTTTTACCATTGCTTGGTCCTGTTTGAATTTTCAAGAAGCATTACAAGTTATAGAAATGTTAATTAATTCTATTATAACAAACTCATATGCAAATTAGATATTATGCAAATTAGATATTATGCAAATTAGATATTATGCAAATTAGATATTATGCAAATTAGTCATCTCGTAAAACAATGCAGAACATTCGTCCTTCTATGATATAACATTTATTGAGTTTGATTAATACAATATCATTTAAACAATGAAAGAAAAAAAATCATAAAGCAGTTGAAGTTTGTATCATTCGTCATTTCCATGAAGCAGTACATGTGTATGTGTGAGCCCAGATGATTCAAGTTTCTCTGTAAGCTGATTGGGCCAAAGAAAAAAAAAAATTGTCTTTTCAGTTACAAGCTAATACTGTAAAATGTAAAACATGTCTTTTTAGCTAGCATATTATTTTAGCTAATCCACAATTCTGCTAAATTAAGATGTCGCTAATTAGAATAGAGTATATTCTCACAGTTAGATTATTTGCACTTTAGCTAAATTAAGATTCAGTTAATTCATACATTGATTCAGGTTCGGTAAAATTGTATGTAGCTATTTCGAAGTGTACGTTTTACAGTAACTCCCAGTAGGATTTTTTTATTTTACCTTTTATCCTATAGGTCATGTTCTGGTCATCCACTACATCAAAAGAAATGAACTTGATGAACAAATTCGTTTTTACAACAGGGATATGGCAAATTTGTATAAAAATAAATTAAGTTGCAAGTTTCATCAAATTTTGATACATGTAGATAGTTATCAAAAACGCAGTTATTTTTTTTTTCGTTGCCTTATTAAAGGTAGATTTGGCAAGTGATTGATTGTTTGCATAGATCCACAGCATGGTCAAATAGCACTCAATGACAGTATTCTATATTACACATTAAATCAGCATGATATCTTCCATGTAACTGTCACACTGTGTCAATGTACACTTTGATGGATTGTTAATTCATTCTACCACACTGCTGTGTACTCTACACAACCACTTCTTGAACTGATTTATTTTTCTTTGCTAAATTTGTTTGAAAATTAAATTATGAGCTTGCATGAAAGATATGAATTGTGCGCTAATAAATAATGGTGGTGACTTCAGTTAAATTTCTTAATTAAACCAGAACCTGAGGTGAAATGATTTAAATTATATTGAATTGCAGCTGATAACTACATTCAGTGTTAACATGAATATTAATAATATATAATAAAAGTGATAGATAGAAGTCTACTCATGATTTCAAATAACCACCATTTATTCATTTTCTAATTAATTGTACTTTCGGACAACAGAAAAATATTGACTTAAAAAAAGTTGGGGAGTCACCAGCTTAATTTTTGAGAAAATGCTGGTTGTATTTTAAGTTGATAGTGGCCATTTTGTCACTATAACACTTTTACTATATAACATTGGTAAAATAATTCATAATTAACAGAAGTATTAACATAACACTTGGGTCAACACAACAGTGGTACATGTTGTAGTGTTAACAGTGACTGATATGTAAACAAAATGTCAATGTTCACTTAAAGTTAACATAATATTATTAACGGGGATGTGTGCATAATAATGGGGGGGGGGGGCATAGTCGAGCTCAATAATTAAGTGAGCATCCCCATCCGTGCACTGTCATCACACAAAACTGGGCAGTGCAGAGTTCTTTTATTCAATCATAATACTATGGACTGTCACAAAATTGAATGTACGTGGAGTAGTAGTACAAAGAAAATGAAATTGAAAAGTGTGGTTAGCATGTCATAGATGCTTGTATTTACTAGGTAATAGTGCTTTAGAAGTATACAAGTATTAAAATGACATGAACATATACTTGTACGCATGTAAAAATGACATGAACATATACTTGTACACATGTAAAAATGACCAGGATTTGTTAACAAAACAAGTAATGGTGGTCTTGTTGTTTAAACTATTCATACAAGCGAGAGGAAACATTGAATGTTGATGAGTTGCACACACACAATCTTGTTTGTATGCTTGTACATTGACCTCGATCACTGCTATAGATAGCTGTATTAAATTCCTGCTGGTTGTGTTCGAGTTTGTTAGTAGTATTCTGTAATTATACTTTATCTTTTTGTTTTGTTCTAGGTTATTTTTCTCCATGGTCTGGGAGATACTGGGTAAGTTCATTTAAATGTAATTGTTTTAACCTTTAATTAATAATTTGATACATTTAATTTTTTAATTAATACATTCAATTTAATTTTGGGTCCAACAAACAAAATTTGACTCAATTTTCACTCAAACTATTTGTCAATTTTTGTCCCAATCTTTTAAAGGAAAGTGTGTTTCTGGTAAATCTATCTACTTGGTATGCATATTATTAAGCATATCAAAAAGTTTATTTCATGCAAATGAGCTCATAATTAATTATTTCTATGCAAATATTAGTCATATTTCACCAATTTTTTAATTTTTGATTTCATTTACCGGTACTTCCCTTTATGAAGTGAGTAATTTACACTTAAAGCGAGGGAGCATGTCAATGTTTACAAACATGCGGACATGGAACCGGGTGCGCCCGACTGATGATGTTGTGACAACTCCCTCAGCTTTAATTGTATAAAAAAAAATATAGTTTGTTTCATGAAAACCATGATTACATATTATTAGGAAAAGTTAAACGAAAAAACTTGCCTTAATCATAATTCAATATTTTTTTTACTCTGTTACACATAAAATTTCTTTTATTTGCATGTGGTCTCATATCTGCCACAGTTGTTATTATTGTTGACATTGTCTGTGGCACAATAAGGATGTAAGGATATTCAATGTACATGTAATTGCCAAACTTCACATGTACATGGTGTGCATATATGTAAATAAATCTGATCATGTGACCAACAACAATTTTAAAGTCAGAAAATGGTTGCTACTTATACTTGTCTGTATATTATAAATGGCTCAAGTTAAAAAATAAGACATTCTTTCTCATTGGCTAGCCAGTCCTAATAACTAACCAGCCAGCCAATCAGGGAACACCTTGTTTTCCAGGATGTCATTTGACCTGCATATGATGCCATGATAAATTTCTCTTTCAATTTTTTTCTAGACATGGCTGGGCAGCGGCTTTTGCATCGATCAAATCACCGCATATAAAATATGTCTGCCCAACCGCGTAAGTATTGCAACATATTTTTTCCATTCTACAATGCAATATTAAAATGGTATTAATTCTCTAAAACTGCATAACCAGATTGGATTTATTTTAATGTATCTGTACAATTAAATTCACAGTTGTCTTAAGTACCATAGTTGAGTTTAAACATGGATGGTGTTCATTTCACCATGCGTGCGTGAGATATAGGTCCCAAATGAACAAAGATGGAAATATTGTTTGTTGCAGACCAGATTCTTTGTTCCTTTGAGTTGTTTCTGTATAAGCATTTCATCCTTTCCTTTCACAATGACCATTTTTCATGTTACCACTGCACCTGAGCAAACTGTGAACACTCAATATTACATAGTAGCGTAATTCGAACAGTAATGCATAACAGAATTTATTGTAGTGAAGATATTATAATAATAAATTAGTGCCATACATCATCTTTCAATGTAACTGTATACTGTACATGTACCTTTCAGATTTGTTTTGTGGCCAAGTTACTCAACATTGGAAGTGTTTTCAAATAAATTTAGCCGACACTAGAACTTCAGTTTACTAAAATTCTTGGGATGGTCGGAATGCATTGATAAAATTCAGTATTTACTGATAGGATAAGATAGGATAGGATAGGATAGTAACACAACTAATCTAAAATAATTTTAGAATCTGAAATACAAAATTAGTTAAAATACTACAAACATATTTGTCTACACTTGAGAAAATATTGATAAACTATTCTTCATTTGGTAAGGTTTGATAATCAGGTGAGTATAATAATAATAATAATAATAATAATAATAATAATAATAATAATAATAATAATAATAATAATGAATTTATTGCATCTTTGAAATAATTTCCATTGGTTGAACAGCAATAAAATGTTAGTAATAAAGTACAATACATATAAAATTAAAGTAAAAGTAAAATGTCAGTTATTGATATTTCTTATTTCAAATATTTTGTATAAGTATTCACCAACTTGTCTTATTAGTACGTCTTCTCTTGAACTCATAATATATTTAAATATCTGGTTATCACTTTTCAATTCTTCTGGAATACTGATATTATTAAATAGCTTTTGTCGTTCCGTTTGGTACCTAAGACATTCCATGAAGAAATGTTCTTCATTTTCAATTTTGATCTGGGAACATTGCTTACAGATTCTGTCTATAAATAGTGCATAGAGGAATTTTATTCCTGTGTTCTGAAAAAAAAAGTAATGTTTTTCATCGCCCACAGCATTAGAGACACACTTGTTACATACCCTGTCAATTTTATTTATTCCCCTGAGACGGCCTGTTTCAATTGGCAAGAATTTGTCACCATGTTTTTGAGGTGATGAATATGCTAATGAGTAGAAGAATGCCAACCAATAAGAAAGGCAGCATTTGATCTGACCTGTTCTATGCAACTATAATTTAACGCACATGTGACATGCTGCGTACAATTATTTGCTCATCTACCTTCCTTTTCTGGAAGTGTTCCACTCCCTGGTTCTATAACATCACTGCATATCATGAATAATTAATAAATATGAATACACCTCAGAATAGACCAGTCATGATAATTTTACATTAGACCATGATTTGAAAAAAAAAAATCATAAAATTGCCACAGCTGGTTTATCTAAGATTATGATTTTGCTGGATCTGCATTTTATTGGTTCTATAATGGCTGAAATGTAAAGTATTACTGTAGATTTTCACAAAATAAATATTTATTTGATGGTACCGGTATTGTTGTTGGACGAAATTTTTTTATTGTCGTTGTTTCTCACCGTCTCAAGGACACAAGAGAAATATTCTCTGCAATGAAATGTTGTAATTTTCCATTATACTTGTGAAATCAGGAAAAATAGTTTTTGTACAAAAACAAAATTGCTTTAAACAAAATAAGATAAATTTAAAAAATTGATTTGAGAATAATAGACCCGTTAAGGTTTCTTTTACATATTAAAACAGTGTTTGTCAATCAGTGTGTTGATAGACTGTAATCCCATGTTCACCAAGATGGCTATCTTTCTAACATTATAAAAAATAGAATATTTGATTAATGGCGACAGCATTTTGTAAATTATGTATTGGGATGAGCCACTACCAATGGGACACAATCTGTCATAGTAGATTAAATTAATAAACTACTGTTATTATATTAATTTGTATGACATATTTTGTATCTCGTCTTTAGATCATTAATTATTTATGTTTGATTAGATGTCTGTCATATTATAATTTCAATATATTTTGTCTCTGATGTAAATCGAGTGTACTATACCAAAATTATTTTTTTTAATTATGTCAATTCCAAGGTCAACTTTTGTCATCTATCTAATATACAGGGCTTGAGAACTTGGAAGTTGAGATTTCAAGGTCAAAATTCATAAAATGGCTTTAGCAAAAAGAAATAGCATTGAGAATATCATAACACAGATGGAAACTCATCAAGGCAATGGCCTTTGATGCCTTTATGATGTTCAAGCCCTGAATGTATATGATATATAATATTAAGTAATTAGGCCATGTTTCGATATTCATCTGACAACAGGGTTTTAATTTCACCACATGTGTCATCCGTGCATCCATTCGCACCTGTATCTCAGACATGCCTGGGCCTATTTCATTCAAACTTCACGCATCATATCATGTGCATTTGTTTCATGATCAAATTCAAGATCGCAAAATGATGGCCAATGTAGTGCTAAAAATTATTACACATGTACTGCAGTTTATTTTGATTCGTCCCTGAAATCAAAATCGGTATTTCCACAATCCGTATGCAAATGGGGTCTGAGAGCAAACAAAGTAGTCCCTTCAGGAGTACAGTTTTTCGGCATAAACAATATTTAGAAGTACGATATTTTCCCCTTGGGGTACATGAATATACTTGTCGAGTGAAATTAAATTTGAACAACAGTAATGGTACTTTTAGGCAGTCACTTATTTTGGCCCAAACTAATTTGCATATCACCCATGCAATAATGTTTTCGGTATTTTCACGGTCGATATGCAAATGAACATGGTATTTTCATTGGCTACCGAACTATTTTTAGTCCCCGTTCGGACGCAGTCCGAAAACGGGGACTTATGTTTTGCCCTGTGTGCGTCCGTCCGTGCGTCCGTGATCACCTGTATCTCGAACATGCATGGACCGATTAAGTTTAAACTTCACTCATACATCACACATTATATGGGACATATGCACATGCATTTTTTTCATGATCCGATTAACGATAGCCGAATAGCGGCCATTTTAAGGTCAAAAATGCATCAAAATCGCACATTTTCACCATTCCGGACCCGGATCTCAGTTATGCATGGACGGATTTTGTTCAAATTTGGTACATACATTAAACATAATAGGACCTTGATGCACGTCATTTTTTTTTTTGGATCGGGTTCGAAATGGCCGACTGGCGGCCATTTTGTTTTAAAGAATTCAGTTCTGGATCCGTATCTGAGACATGCTTGGATTGATCGAGTTCAAACTTCACACACACAAGGTACATCATGTCACAAATATGTATGTGCATTTGTTTCATGATCTCATTAACGATAGCCAAATGGCGGCCGCTTTAAGGCCGAAAATGCATTGAAATCGCACATTTTCACCATTCCGGACCCGGATCTCAGTTATGCATGGACGGATTCATTCAAATTTGGTACATACATTAAACATAATAGGACCTTGATGCACGTCATTTTTTTTTTCGGATCAAGTTCGAAATGGCCGACTGGCGGCCATTTTGTTAAAGAATTCAGTCCTGGATCTGTATCCAAGACATGTCTGGATTGATCAAGTTCAAACTTCACACACACATGGTACATCATGTCACAAATAGATATGTGCATTCGTTTCATGATCTGCTTAACAATAGCGGAATGATGGCCATTTTAAGGCCGAAAATGCATCAAAATCACGTATTTTCACAATTCCAGAACCGGATCTCAGTCATGCATGGATGGATTTTATTCAGATTTAGCACAATGTGTTGTACATATGCAAGTGCATTTCGGTCATGATCTGCTTTGAATGTATATGTCACTCAAATATGAACGGAACGGGGACGTGTCATTGACAATGACTTTTGTAAACACATTTTCGTCTGCTATTTTTATCCAGTTCAAATCATTCCATAACATTTTTGGCATGTCAGGTGTACATCACATTGGGAATACTACGATTGGGAGAACTTAATGTATGTTGACCACCTGATAACTGAGTTTTATAAACCTTGAAGGGCTCTCAGAAGATCCACCAGCAGTAAAATCAGCGATTACTATGCAGCCGCAACCATCAGCATCGAGATACCAGGTTTCTGCTGGCGACGTTGCGGCGTTACTCAGTTTCAAATAAAAATTACCAACGCCAAAAGAGCAACATTTTAACCGGTAATCAAGACTCAGTCAATCCACGACCAGCAAGCAACATCACACACGAAGTTGTAGCGTGCAGCTAAGCGACAACCGCTGTCGACGAAAGTCATCCCGTCTGTGGAGTACCGCAGTTGCACGGCTTGTTTGCCAATGCACAATTCGGTGGCGAAACTTTTAACTTCAACATAAACTGTGTATCATAGTTGTCCAGTTCAAGTTCTGGTTCTGCCGTGGTCCCAACTAAACGTCAACGAGTTATTTATTCGGACAGTGACTCAGATTAGACGTCTGATTATTTTAATTTCAAACAAACAGTGACACGTGTTCTCCGGGCGCGTTTTACACTGACACGCGCTGCTAAGGCGTAACACTTATATTGGAACATATTAATGGTCAATGGGGTTCCCCGACCTAAATTCCATCCCGGTTTGCACGTTCTTTCTTTAATACGAAATAATCAAGTATGGAACATGTGTAATAATAACAGAACCCCACACCCTCCTCCTCATATCATCAAAATCAAGCATTTCTGTCCAGTCTGGAACCAGATCTCAGTCATGTATAGACATACATTTGTATATTTAATTCAAACGTACTACCGTATATCCAGTTATTACATAATTGGTTCTTAATTGATGTATGTCATTTTTGTTCAGATCGGCATTTAAATGCTTGACTGGCTTTGACTGATTTAAACTTGTAAATACATCACACATCAGATACATGTAATGCATAAAAACATTCATTTGTTTCATAATTAAATTCAATATGGCCATGTAAATAATTATTTGGCACTTATTTTGACAGTCACTGAAAACTGCACAAGAACTTGTCATTGCCAATGACTGTTTTTTTTTTTAATATCTTTTCAAAGATACTGATTGAGACATGTAGCCAATGGGAGGTTATCTCAATTTCCAGAAATTATTATTACAGTAAAAATACATAGAAATTGTGAATAGTAATGCAATTATTACTCGTTTATATTACCATTTTTTATATTCATCAAAATCTATCGAAATATACATGCAAATAGTCGTCAAAACCTTGTTGAAAGTTAGAAGGCGCCACAAAACTGGTTTTTACCCCATTCTCACTCCTATCATTCATTCACTGTTCCAAATATATTATACCGGTATATACTATTGGATGTGTTGACAGAATCAAATAGAACACTAGAGTAGTCTACGGCTCTTGTGCTCTCTGCAAGATCTCAGCAACCATTTGTCACTTGGGTGAATTGACAGAATCTATAGACAATAAAACTGGTTGCCATGAAAGTAGTGTTTATATGAGAAATTTTCGAAAATTTAAATGTTTAAAAGGGCAATAACCCCGGTAGTCATTACGCCACACATGCACGAGATATATGCGTCTCGTATAAACAAAGATGATGATTTGACTGTTGCGCAGATCAACGAGTACAAACTGAGACATTTCCAAGCTTTAATTAGGTAATTTCTTTGGTGATTGGAAGGTAATGAATGAGTCACCGGGGGTAATTAGTACAAGTCGCGTCCAGGTTAAACATCATACTTGTGATTT